TCTTCTCTAATCTGAAAACAAATTTTTATTAGCATCAAAGATTGGGTCATCTTACAAAGAGTTGTTAGTATACAGCGATGTACTAAACACCTTCATGAATAATACTGTACAGCCAACCGCAGCTCTTGAATGTGTTATTTATTTCATTAGTTTTTTAAGCACTTACTGGCCTCTTTCTTCATCTACATCAATGTCTTCATCGTATTTACTGTCCTCTGTCTCCGTAGCAGCGACACTTACCTAAAATTAGGAAACAGGGAATTATTTTCAAGACTGAATAGCTTAGCTGCTGTAGCTTATTTGCTTTAAATTAGTGAGGGGATACGTCTGGAAGTGCCGGTACGTCTTCTTTGTGGGCCAGAAGTCCGGTGCCAGCAAATACAAACAGCTCCAACCCTCCCCTCCTCAGTTGTATGTCTGGTTTCTTGGAGAGATCGACGGTACCCAATAAACAAGCCTGGTTACGTAAAGTACTGTCTGATAACCATGTCTCATGACCAAAAACGCTACAAAATGACCCCGAGTAGGGATCAAACGGATACTATCGTAGATTAGCATGTTACCTACGTGCAGCTGTACATAAAACTCTTGGAAAAATTTTCATTTCTATTTTTTTAAATGACTATTACCCAAAAATCCAAAACTTATCGTTCAGTAAAGAGTAGGAAAAAGGAAAATAGTATGATTGCTTTTTTTACTTACTGTTTCGTACTCTTCGTCTTCATTGCGCTGCAAAGATATGAAATAGACGACACTGCGATCAGAACCTTCACGTGCAAGTTACATAGCGTACTAAAAGATTTCATAAATACTAAGATAGAACGCGCGCTCTCATTAGTCGTTAGGGTGTGTTTGGATGAGAGGATGTAAACATGGTTGTGCCGTCACGCTTTCACTGTTTCCTGGAGCTCTTTTACAAAACCAATAAAGGACTCTATCGCGCCTCAGGTTTCCATAACTTTCTCGAATTCTCCCAACCCCCTCGTGTTGAGGTAACGCTCTGTACGCAGAGGAAAAGGTCTATTGCTTGAGTAAATTTTGTTGTCGTTATAGCCGTTGATATATTGCTGTTGTTAATGTGGACGCTCCTGTTTTGCTGTTCTGAAAAGATTACACAACTATACCGGAAAAATGGCCACACATTATAAGTTCCAAAAGGGTTCAGGGGGAATACGTCGTCAATAATAATCACCAGAAAATATTGCAAGTGTACCAAACAGTTTATGAACAGACAATGACTTGAAGACAGACACGCACGCCCCCAGCTATTTCCGCGCCTAGCCTAACACGTTCCAAGCCAAGAATCGCTACAAGTTGTTTGGTTCAAGGGAACCAATTTATACCGCAGCTGCACTTACAAAGGCCCATGGGAAATGTACGGAAAACGGTAGGGAGAATATGCACACTGATGTTAGAGTGAAAAGGATTAAACAGGAGCAAGATTTGAAAGCATAGATGACTGCCGCCAAAAAAGGATTTTAGCGCATATTACCATGGAATCATCACTATCACTGCCTTCCATTTCTTCCTCAAACTCGTCGTCATCTTCATCGTTGTCGTCATCATCCGGGCCTTCTTCATCATCACTATTTGTGATCCATGCGGCCTGGTAGTCAGAGGTTCCTTTGGGCACCCTCTTCACAACTTTCTTTTCTTGGCGGGCCTCTGCTAAAAATCAAACGCAATGCAGCGATAGTTGCGAGTCAAAACACAAATTAAAAAGCAAATGCTCAAGCATACGAAGCATTACAATGTAAATTTCAATGCTTTGTGCTTGAAATAGTTTGTAAATTTTGAGGAAACGGCGCCAAAGGTCTGGTTCTCGCACACTACAGGCTTTCCCGGAATCGCCCGCGAGGAATGTGCCGTCATATCCCGGTGGTCCTTTTGTAATACCTTACACTGTAGCTGTAATGGCTATAAGTTCCCAAGAGGCGCAAAAAAAAGTGCGGAAAATAAACGGCGTTTCCATAAGCTTCGGCGCTTGCAAAATCTTTAAGAGGCTCGTTCTTCATTCTAACTCCAAAAGAGGGTTTAGCCGTCTAGGCTTTTAATTTCAGTTGATTTCACTTTGGTCGAGGGCAATCGCTTATGGTCAGTCTAATGCATTATTCATCAAAAAGGACGATCTCTCTTTATTGTATAAAACATAATCATTGTCACACCAGACCTTCCGCTTCCCTCAGCTCTTCATCAGTTGGCCATGTTTGTTCCCCTTCCATCGGGTCAGGCTCGACTTCCGACTGAAGTGATTCCTGAAAGGCTATGTCAGCTCGAGCTATAAGCTTGATGTCTTCATCCATGGAAGTTGTTCCTTCCTCAGTATCCTGCAATAATGTGCGGTAATACAATAAAAAAAGTTAAACTTCCAAAGGATTATGCTACAACTATGATATCACGACAATGCACTTCTTTACTTTTCTTGAGCGAAAATGGTATTTTGTGGCCCATCATTGCTCTTTATTCAAACCTCATCTTGTTACTTTGTTTGAGGAATCTCAAATAGCATATGGCATTTTTAGCATTTTGTTGTCCATCACTGCACTTTATTCAGATCTTACTTTGTTACTTTGTTTGAGGAATCTCACGATAGACATAGGATAGTGACCGATAGAGTGTACAGAGTATGTGTTATAATATATGAAAGAGAGTTTGGGACAGAGGAAAGAATGCACCTCCACGGTTACATAGAATGAGTTTTGTGTTACGTCCTCCATAGTATTAATGCTATCACGTTTTAAAGAATAGATCTAAAACGTTCGATATTTCAAAATATTAATTTGAAGGAAACGCAGCTACGTGCGCGAAATGAATTTAACAAAAATTCATGCACAACCAAAATAGCATACAAACAAAGTACTAAGCCGGAACAAAAAAAAAGACAAAAATTTACCACAGCCATTGATTCCCCTCTAAAACCTGAAGACTTTTTCTTTTCTGCCACGGAAATGGGTCTGCGGGAGCATCAATCTATGAAACGAAGACAACAAGTGTAAAAGAAATTTGTTGATAAGCGCGATACAAATGATCTATTTCTACGAGGCCTTTAGAAATATTAATTATATTCAAGCATTGTTGCAAGTACCCTGCTAGAATACCTACTTGTGACATTTGAAAATCTCCATATCCCGGCAGATGAACCAGCCTGTTCACTGAAAGGTTCTTCCCTCTGACAAAACCACACACCTTCAGGGTGCCCCTGGGGACATCTGTCACCTCACTGTTGGGTTCAAATGTTGTACTTTCAGCTAAAAGGTGGGGACGTATATCACGGAAATGGATGACTCTTTGATGCTGATTGGATATCAATCTCAGTGCTACAAGAGCATCCTAGGAGAAAATGATCTCGCAAAAGTAAAATACGTGTTAACCTTTTAACTCTCAGAGGTGATTGAGAAGTAACTTCTCCCTATAACATCCATACACTATCCAGCAAATGGGTAATGAGAATACTGAAACTTATCATATAGGAGTTGTTTTTCTTGATCTAACACCAAATTCTCCAAACTCATTTAAAAGGAAATGTGTAGCAGCTAGAGGGGAGAATTAACAATCAGATCTTGGGAGTTAAAGGGTTAAGAAAGAAACCACTGAATAAAAAACCAAAGAATAAAAAAGGGAAATATACATGACAACAGAAATCCAACATTTGAGTATTACTTTACCTCAATCTATCAGGTACTATGGAAAAAGTAGTCAGGTGATGAGCAGCCCTTACGTGTAAACTGCTCCCTAATAAAAGTTTTTGATGTGCAATGTACATGTACTGTAGTGTTTTGTCAGTGTATTCTCACCTGTGAGGATTCAAGGTTGTGAATTTTATCCCTGGGAAATCTGAAAAAAGAAATAAAAAGTGTGCATGCCAGCTCATTTAATGACCTCAGGCAAAGATTTCAAACCTTGCATACAAATTTCAGAGGCAAAGGCAAATATTTCAAACTTTACATACAGTACATCACTGACTGAACACTAAAGTGTTAACGTAATACCAAGTAGTGCATACAAGTACAATTGACCCTAAAAATGTAGATTTGTCACATTCACCGTACAATTATAGCAGAGCTCACAGAGCGTAGCCCCATAATTATGCAAAATAGTAGTAACCCATCAAGCCGAAAAAATTTGGATGTATGACTGTACAACCGTACGACTAACCATACAAGGTGCTACTTTTAGCATGTGCAGCCAACTGTACCATGGGCACTATCTTATAATCAGTCCTCTACACAGACACGGAGAAGTTGCGAATGAAAATCCATTAATATTACCACACACTTTATCCATAGTAGGGGCTTTAGTTTTGTTGAAGAGACGTGCAGGTAAAAAAAATGCGAGCTCCGCTTTTAGGCTTGCCTAAATCGATATATTTGTACCAAAACTAAAACATGTTCAATACACCTCATCAGCTTTGATTTACTTAGTATAAGCTACATCCCAATAGTAGTAAAACCAATTATGGCAACCCCAAATGATATTTTAAGTGTATGATTTTACACCTGTATGTTACATGTATATGACCACTATCAAAATGAGAACAACAAGGTTTTAATCAAAAATAGCATAGTACTGACAGACATGTACCTCTTTTCTACTATCTTTTGTATGTGTTTCTTTACATCATTTCGTTTCTTTGATGGCACTTCCTCCAGACCCTGGAATAAATTGTACACATCCACATTGGTGACAGTGAGTGATGTTTCAAAAATCTGAGTACATGTAGAGTGATAATGATGTCCTTTGACCTTGTCAAACTTTCATTTACACGTACAGTCACTAACAACACTTCTCTCCAGGACTTTCCTCATGCAAACTATCCCTCCACTGTAATGTGCAAACAGTCCAAGGAACAGTGACTTAAAACATTTTCCTACATACTGTGAAGACACCCACAAGTCAAAAAAAAAAAAAATTAACACACATAAAGTAAATGTACCTACCTGAACCCCAAGGAATGATGTTGGTAAGCCTTGTGCAAATATACAGGATAGACATTTGTCACCAAAGGAATCCAGTGGATGAGTGGCATTCAGAAGAAACAGAAGAGAATCTGAAACCTTAAGTTGAAAAACATAAGTTTTTGTCAGTTTGTCAATCATCTAAAAATGAACACCTAACTATAAAACCATGAAATATCAACTATAGGCATGGCAACATTTAATGTCTCAGAATATACAGATTCCTGCATCATCCATATAGCAAATTCTCAGAAAATGTGTTGAAAATATGTCTGGTTGCAATTATCAATCAGTTCAACTATGCAAACTTTATTTGCTACATGTAATAGTGTATCACCACACCTTTCACCTCAAGGTTCAAGTGACACCATATCAATCAACAGCATTCTGTAAATGGTGTTTAGAAAATTACCCCAGGGGCCTATCATTATTTTAATTAAAAAAAATTATGTAACAAACCTTTGCTGCATCCAAAACTGCAAACAGGTCCCCATACTTCAATGGAAGAAAAGAAAATCGCTGCTTCAGCTGCTGTGAACTGAATGAGTGAAAGAGGAATTGAATGCGCATTATTAATAATTGAGGTCTGAAGTCCCAAGCCTGGGGGCAGTGTTCCCACAAAAAAAAAAATGTGGTCAAGAAAATAACACATACATATACTACATGCCAGCATTTGTAACAAATTAAGGCTAAAAGTTGAGTAACAAACTTTAGCTCAAGCTGAACACTTGGCAATAATATGAACTAATTAAATTTTTGTGACACTACTTCTGAATGAAGCATCAAATTCAACTTTTATAGCTATACTATTTTGTATCAGTAACATGAAGAGAAGTGGACAATCACTGAGGAATAATATGGATGACCATTATGAAATTATTCTAATTCTAGATTGCAGTCTGGTGAAATATTTCTAAGTGTATGACTCTAAAAATTGTAGTTATCAAGAGTTACTGTACATGGTTGCTTAGCCACTCACACAAGGGTGGTAGTGTTTCTTGTGGAACAGAGGGAGCCATCGCTGTCACACTCAGTGAGCAATTTAAGAGCTTGGTCAACATCGCAATTGGATGACAGAGGAACAATTGCCTGACAGAAATTTAAAAGTGTAAAGTTACTATTTACAGGTCTCTTGACAACAGTCTGCAAAATGTTTGGAGTTTTGTGTTATCAAAAACGCTTTCATCTTTAAAACATGAAATCAAATACCTTACGAACAGCTATAGCTATAAACTTTGTGTGATTGCATTAGGAGGTAATCATGTGTGTAATTTTAATTAAGACCCACAATGATACTTGGCCAACTTTGAAATATCTCTCAGTGTGCTACATGCACACTCTTACTAAAACCAAAATAACCAGACAAATACATGTATTATTTCTTTTTACGAGACTACTACATAAGAGCATGAATCTCATAATTCTGCTGCAATAATTTGCCTGCTGTCAGTTTATTTGAAATTTTTCTTTCAAGCAGAATTTAAATTTATGTCCTTACATGTACATGCACATTTGCCAACGTATAAGGTCATAATATATATAGTGGTAATGGTAATATTTTATATTACAATTTTCATCATGATGGTTTAAATTTTGCCTTACGTAAAAATTTTTCCAACCAAACTTTTTGTAAATTTTTCTATTCTTCAACAGAAGTTATACAGTAGGTATGATAACAAACAAAAATTGAGCGAATCAAACTACAACTTTCCTGACATTTCTCTCTTAAATGACACTCACAATAAGATGAGGAGGGCTTCCTTGCTTCCCTGTTTTTCTCTTTTGTTCCAATACTTCCTCTCTTCTTTTAACTCTTATCTGTTTAGCCTGTTTAAAACAAAATCAAAAACTTGTTCAATAAAAAAAGGGAAGTGACATGTCCATGTGTCAGTCCAGCTTTGCTGGAGCACAGTCCTGTTAATGGAGACTAAAGGCAGAACATAGCTGCTGGTGGTCCATTTAATACAAGTCATAAGATTGAAAATAAATAGTCCAAATAAATATTAAGGACAGAAATCTCTGAACACTTTAACTCCCATCAGTGACCAAGAGAGAATTTCTCCCTACAATATCAATACAATATCCAGTAGACAAGTCATGAGAATAAAAAAAAAATATCAATTGGGGAATTATTAATTGATCAAAATACCAAATTCTCAAAATTACCATCCAAGAACTGTATGGCAAACAGTAAGGAGAATCACTAATGAGATCTTGGGAGTTAAAGGGTTAATTGGTAATTACCAGACCAGTTGACTTTATGTGCAAGAAAAGGGGCAGCTGAGATATTTACTCTGGGGCAAGATAAACAGCACAACAAGGGAATTCATTTGATGGAGAGCCACTAAATAAAATCCATACAACTCAACCAGTTGCCTGAGATATTTACTCTGGGGCAAGATAAACAGCACAACAAGGGAATTCATTCAATGGAGAGCCACTAAATAAAATCCATACAACTCAACCAGTTGCCTGATACATCCTTCAACTCTTTCACTCCCAAGTTGTTCTCCTTTTTGTCTACCATAAAGTTCTTCTGTTTGGAGAATTTAGATAATAATTTGGAGAATTTGGTAAGCGATCAACTGATCGCCTTATTCATGTTACTTTAATCACATCACTTGTCTGCTTGATATTGTAGAGATATTGTAAGGAGAAATTCTGTTTTGGTCACTTGTGGAAGCGATAGGCTTGAAGTAAGGAGCAATTCATCATAGCAACAATTTCCTAATGAAATATATTGCACAGTTCACTTAAACACAAATAACACCAACCTGGTGTCTACGATTGGTTTTCCCAACAGCTTGGCGAACTTTCTTTGAAATCACTTTGATTCCAACACGGCCTGAACGAGGACACAGTATGTTAGAGACGTTGACGTAAGTTGAAAAGGTGTCTACGTAAGCTTCATACCCACGGGCTTATTGCACGTATATGCAGAACAAATAACGCCATCATACGGTCTTACTAACAATCTTAATTATAATAATCTACATAATCTTAGAGTATGCTTTGCAGGCATGTACAATGTTAGAATGCTACATCGTAACTTCATCGATATAATACGAAGAAACGATCTTTAAGCGAGTCTTATCGACGAAGACCGAATTTAAAGAACAATACGATTGCAGAAAATGCTATCGTTGTTCAACTTAATAATTGTGGCCACAAATTAATTTTAACAGAAAAAGAAAGCATTTCTGAGGCTCTACAAGCACTGAAAAACAGTTTTCACGGAACATTATTGAAAAAACTGACATACAACCTTTGTTAGTCTTATCAACCTCGCTCTTGCTCCTGTGCCGTCCGTGTTTGTGTGTTTTATTTTGCTGTTTTAGTGGGCCTGATTTATGTCGTATACCTTCTTCAAGAGCCATTTTGTTTGTTTCAACACGTGCTGCATGAGAAACCGCTGACTAGGATTGAATGCTCACAAGTGAAAAATATGTAGTGTAATGGTCATATAGTGTTCTTAGAAGGGATTGGGTCATCACGACTGAGAAAAGATTGACAGGTATCAGACCTATGCAAATATGGTCTCGATCCACATCTTCTCCTTGAAAAAATCATCATCCTGTTTCCTGCGTGTACCATCCGTCGTAAAAAGAGAAAGGCTTCACGTTCAACGAGCATATTTAGTACGAGCAATCAATTACAAAGTAATGCTTTTGGTCTGCGAAACTGTATATTGGATGGGATTCTCAGAACATCTTTTTAATGTTACGAACTCAAGACGAACCAAGTGAGGTAGGAGTGTTCCCTTTAAGATGTTCACACCCCGGTCCCCGCTTCAAAGCAATCTATCATGTGTACAAGAAATCTTACGTTTCTCTAGCTCGTTATGTGGTCATCAAATCGAAGCATAATCAATAACGCGATCGCAGTCGTAGATAATTTCGATCGCATGGGAAACATAATACCTAAGGTGATGGTTTATGTTATGGCATGGGCCCGTGGGCAGTAAATGATTAATTTGACTCGGCAACAGATGCCTTTTCAAAACATTTGAAAAAGAGGACTGGTTTCGAATCACATCGTAAATAAAAAGGCAAGTCTTGTGATTAAAAGAGAAATAAAGTTTGCATCGTAATTTTGACCCCGAAGACGCGTTGTAAATGGTAGCCGATTTCAGTGCAAGTCACGCAATTTACGATGTTTCAGGTTTTAAACTGTAGACAATACTTAAGTTGCTTATGGTCATTTATCCACAAGCATGTTTTCAAAAGACACATTATAGCGGCTAAGCCCTTTTTTTGTCCGTTCATTTGAGTGTGCGCAGAGATTTTTTTCCATGTTTCACACATAACATAGCTTATGTAGATAGTGGCGACTAGATGCAACAGAGGCTGTAACACTTTCACACATGAAGAACAATCCTGACCTTTTTCAAAATTATAAACTTCGTGGAATTCTCTAACGCACATTCTTAATTACGCTCATTAAAAAGGAAAAAAAAAAAAGACTTGCTGTCACAGAAACTGTGTACCGTACCGTGGTGTATCGTTTCGGGGCAAAAGACTTAGAACTTTGCTTTCAGCTGCAGGCAGAAGAAAGCATGGTAAAATTTCCGCACAGCCCCATCCTACATTATGCATTCAGTTCTTGGATTATGAAAACAATTACAAAAACAATACATTGCCATTGGGAAAACAGATTTGTTTTAAAAAGTACGGGGCTGTGCGGAAATTTCACCGAAAGCATTAGCTTGAAAAAGCTTGAAAACAAAGATCATCGCGTTACAGTGAAAATGTTTATTCAAACATGACGAGCTTTGCGTCGGAATTAATTTTATGCAAATTAGCTGGCTGCACATTCAATGTTCAGCCAGCTAATTTGCATAAGTAATTCAAGCCAAGGTTCGACGCCTCTTGGTGGCATGAGGTGTTCGCTGAACATTCCAGGACATCCGATAATCGCCACAGAAAGGTTAATGAAGCTCCCCTCGAATGAAATGGAAAAAACCGCAACTTCTGATGATTACATTTCTAATCATTTTCAAGATACAACTCTACTTTGTTCGCTCACTTTCCAGAAACAAGAGTCCAGAGTAATGCTTTATACAAACTTAACGGGTCTAATTCGAAAAAACCTTTGAGGCAGTACGCTAAGCTTATTTTCTCTGTAGAGACAGTAAATGTCTTAAAAAAGACAACAGTAAATCATTAACACAAGGTTCACAAATAGTCCTGACCAAATGTTACAGAAACATATAACAGGAACACTTTAAAACACGTAAAATGAAGAAACTCAAAAATAGCCAAAAAAGCGGCACCGGTAAAGCCGATTTCGCCTCCATGATCGAACACCTAAGCCTATTTAAGGTTAACTCCAGCAAACCCTTCTTTACACAGAACTTTTAAAGTCCAGAAACTGTGTTGATTAGATAATCCTCTCTGTTTACAAGCTTCGGCGCAATGCAACTATTCTTATAATGACCTTTTATGTGCGAAGGTGTTGGAACGGCATTTTTGGCTTTTCCGAAGACATCACTCCTGCCAAAACGACTATAACAGGGGAGAAGCTGGTCTAAAACACCGTTATTGCATTTAAGGTCATTGTTAACAAATTCACTGGTGTGAAAATCGTCTTACGCGTCTGCCGTGTAGGGAGGGTAAAGAAGAGGTTAAAAATAACACTCAGATATACACTACCCAAGAGGGTATAGAACAGATTAAATATAACCCTCGGGTATATACTAGCCAAGAGGGTTTAGAAGAGATTATAAGTGAATGGGTAAATTTCTTAAGAAACAGTGGTACTGCTGCTGGGGGAGTATAAAAAAGTACTGAATTTGCTTTTATCCACTGAGTTGATAACGTAAATTGGCCGTCACTGTAAAGGGTTTCTAAGCTAACGTTTCCGAGCGATCGAGGAATTGTGGGTTGTGTGTGCGTTTACATGCAGAAGATGGAGCTACGCTATTGGTGGCAACATGGTAACAAGAAAAACAAGAATAAATTAGTTGAATGAAAAGCATTCGTTGATACCGTGGGCAGTAAAGGGTGCCGATTTGAAAGAAAAATTTTTGTTCCAGAGTTTTGCGACTTTCTGAACTGCCTAGATGTAAGGAAAAGGCCGCAGAATGCCATGTGCTGCTTAGAATGATTAGAGAGATTAAAGTATCCAGCAACTAGTTTGGATGCGTCCATCCTCCTTTTCATTGAAGAATTTCCTAAAAAAATTTTCCTATCATGAACATGCATTACTATATTTTTAAATCCCTTCGGGCGGCTGGTATGGTACAGTTGGCAGTTATAAGACAATGATGCATGATCTGTTTCATTTCATTTATTTCTACTTGCGAATACAACTTACGATAAATTTACGTAAATGACACGATACAGTAGCAATCATACTCTGTATTTTCTAGAAAAGAATCTTGCATGACCACAGGAACAAATTGAAAAGCTAACAAAAACCCTTAACTTTCCTTTTTCTGTGATAGATTTTCCCTTTGCTGCTATTTTGCTGAGGGACCTCAAAGGATACTCAACCCAGTGACTATGTCTACCTTTACGGCTGAGCAACTCAACTTTTTCAAATTCAGTGCCATCATTGTTGACGAATTTCCAAATGCTTTGCGACACGCATTTGTTAACATGTGGGACACTTTACATGGCCATACTCCAGGTTGCAAACTGTGGGACGATTCCCCCGATGTTCGAGGGATGTTCCTCAGTAAAGAAGGTGGGATGACCAAGGTTCCAACTGATCTATCTTTTAAAAAGTGGGACTGCACAGCTCTTCTGCAGGCCACCCTGTTTGCAAAAAGCTTTTCGAGGGTATACTGCGATGGAATCGCTCGTAATTTGAGTGATAAGTATGTAAAACCCCGTGGGATTTCTGGCGGATCCTTTCATCCATCTGTTCAAAGCCCATACGGAGACGATGCAGAAACATTTGCGTTAGCACTAGATCAACTCCGCTTGCTACGCAATACCCTCTTCCACTCGACTGGTACGGGAACTATTGATAAAACAACATTTGATCATTATATTCAGTTAGCCAAAGAAGCCTTCGAAGCAATCAGTTATGACGTTTCTCAGCTGGACTTTATCGGCACCCTGGCAGAAGAAGACTTTCCTACCTCTAAGGTGGAACAACTGGAGGAGGATTTAAAGAAAATGCGGGATACCTCCACTAAGCTTGAAGAAATTGAGAATACCCTTAAAGATATCAAACAAACTCTACAAAGAGAACGAGACTCAACAGGTTAGCTTCAGTCAGAGATGACACTTGTAGAAATCTGTGGATTCCATGCTCAATTAATAATTATTGTTTAATTTGCCTTGAACGCTTTGGCGAAAGGTACTATAGAGACCAATCTCTAGAATTTTTATAGACACATTGCCCATCCTTTCATGATGAGCAGTAGTCAAGTTATTGGACCTTTTCTTCCCCTCTACACCTTCAGGCCAGCTCCTAGACTTTTGAACAGTTTGATTTTCGTCATGGAGTTTAGTGAAGCCAATTTGTTTTGGCCATAAGCCAAACCAGTTGATGACATTAAATTACACCCATCGCTGCTCCATATATTGAAAGGGACTTAGATTTCGTTGTTGTGGTCCGGCTTGTGTCGTATGTTTCAATAGGCGAGGTTATCGGATCAGATGTCAACTTTTTATGGCCGGATAGTAGCTGTTTAGGCACTAGTACACATTGATGCCTTGAAGACATTAAACTTTGCTATTTAGCCTCCTACAAATGGACCATACGAATTCATTTTCACTATCACTTTTCCTCGTCATGTCTTTCTTATCAGGTTCTGGGACTCCCATATCCTGTCTTCCAGATAAGAAACCGCTTTTCGTTGGTCGTGAACTGGAATGCGACGCCGTGTTAAATCCATTAGTTTCAGGAGACAGTCGGCTAGTCAACATTTGGGGTCCACCAGGATTTGGGAAAACGTCAGTGGCCATCGAGGTAGCACATCACTTGCGTGAGAGAAATACTCCTACGTACTTCATCTCTGTTCGTGGCGTGAAAAGCAAAGAGGAGATTGTCTCAAAGTTGCTAAGCATTTTCGCAGGCACCAATAAACAAGCAACACACTTTTCACCCTTCCACACAGTGATTCAATGCCTACGAGAGTTTCGAGATCCCTTTGTCGTGATTTTTGATAATGCTGACGATGTACTCGAATCAGGGAATGGGCCTCTGAGAGATGACATGCTCCAAGTAACACAAGAGATCCTGGAACAGTGCAATCTTGTTCGCCTTCTGTTCACTACGCGTGGGTCAATGGACTATCTGCACCATAGTGTTGCCATTACCGTGGTAAAAGTGGAAGAAATGGATGAAGTTTCCTCTTCTGAATTAGTAAGACTCCTGTTACCAGATGTTCAAGATGATGACTGCAAGAGAGTGGTGAGGGCTTGCGGCCGGGTTCCTCTTGCTATGAAGCTGATGTGCGGCATCATCAAGGAAGAAAATTTTTCAGCCACGAAGCTGTGTAAGGAGCTAAGAATTATCCCAGTGGTCGCTGTCTTGGACGATGAACGTTTACCAAATGATTTACGGCTGAGGAATATAATTGACAAATCCTACGAAAGACTCGCAATAGATGAAAGAAGGTCGTTTGTTTCGTTGGCCGTTTTTCCAGGTTTCTTTGGAATAAAAGAGGCTACAAGCGTGCTACGTGCAAGAGACACTCGAGTTACGACTAGATTCCTAAAGTCACTTCAACAGAAATCTCTTATTAATTACCACAATCATCGAGAGTCATTCTCTATTCACCCCCTCCTTCAATCCTTCATTGCTGAAAAGTGCTCAAAAGACGACGAAATCAGGAATGCATTCAACGAAGCACAACTTCGTTTACACGAATACTACGTCTCCTGTTTCGCAGAAGCCAATGAACAGTTTCTTACGGGGAATTCTGTTGAAGCCTTTGCAGCTTTTAGAAGCCAGCAGGATGGCATTATGTCATCGCTAGCCCATGGTACACGAAGCGAAGCACTTTATCGACAAGTGATAGACTCTATTTCCACTGGAGAGCTATTCCTTTACTCTCTACTATGTCATGAAGAGTTTTTATTTCACGATCTTTACGACACAGCATTAAAAGAGGCGAAGAAACAGGGAAACTTGTGCGACGAATATGCGTTAAAAGCTGCGAAAGCATTTGGTCACTTGGGTTGGTTTTTCGCACGTAGTCAAGTCTGGGACGAGTCAGCGCAACCCTGGACAGGGAAGATGTTATGCTATCGAAGTGTCTACCAACTTCTTTGTGGCAACCTCGACGAAGGTGTATCTTCTCTTGAGATTGCTGTTGATCTTTTAAGCAGCGGCAGGTGTGATGAGCAAATTCTCAAAATACTCGCCAACCATATTTTAGCAGTTTACTACACGACGAAAGAGGATGAGGAAAGAATAGCATATTTCGAAAACCTGTGCCGCGTCGAGAGCCTTAAGTCAGAGTCGTCGAGTCGAGCGATCCGCTACCTTTTTTCAATGATGAGCCACCCAGTAGAAGAAATAGACCAAAGCGCTGAGTTGTCTAGTGTCGCTGAGCAGGATGCAACTATGTTTGCATTAATAGCAAAATTGCTGCCGAGCTTGTACAAAGTTTTCGCTAATCCTGAAGTCCAGAGGAAAGCAACGCTGATGACCACCAGTTTACTAAAACAGTACGAGATATTGAAAAGGTTATTTGAGAATGGAGCTCTTCCTTTTCAAGTTTTGGAATCTTGTTGTGATGCTTTACGAATCATGAACTTTGCTAAGGAAGCGGCTCAAGGTTTCCAAGTTATTACTGACTACCTGGACAAAGAAAATAGAAATAGTAGAGACGCTGCTAGAAATTTCCATTTTCTTGGCTTGGCGCATGAGAAAGCGGAGAATAGGACAGCAGCACTTGATTGTTTTAAGAAGGCCTTAGAAATTAGAGTGCAACTCTTAAGAGATGATTTTGATTGGAGCCACAGCAGTGATGACAATGTGGTCGGGGAAGCTTTTGATTCTTTGCTTGGCTGTTTGGAAATCAGAGTGAAGATTTCAGAAGAACTCCAAAGCCCTAATACCTGCAGCTTAAATGACCTCAAGCACACGTGTGAATTTCTCGGAAGTATTTTGAAATCTTTAGAAAATGTATCCGTTGGGCTTAGCAAACTAGAATTAGCGAGAAATCTAGACTCACTCGGTCATTGTCAGGTTTTATTGAAGCACTTCCAAGGAGCAGCGGAATCCTATGACCTGGCTGTGCGCAAGAGAGAAGAAAAAGCCGAGGATCATGTTCAGACGGCTTTTAGTCTCATGAGACTAGGTTGTGTATTGTTCCAGTTAGGTAGGAATACCGAGGCCGAAAATGCTCTTCAACGCTCGTTAAATGTACGGACAAAGTTACGGTTGGACGATGATTTGGATACCGCTTCTGTTTATTACCAAATTGGAGAAAATTATCTCATTATGGAGAATTTCCCAAAGGCTAGAGATGCACATAGCCAGGGTTTGGAATTAAGGATGAAACACCTAGGCGAAGATGTCCTTACAGCAGCCAGTTTTGAACGAGTGGGGATTACATATTTGAAGATGAGTGATTACAAATCTGCCCTGCAACCATTTCAGAATGCGCTTCAGATGAGAAAAAATCTTCTTGAGGACCACTTAGACACTGCGTCTAGTTACCATAACCTCTCCTTGACGTATTTGAAATCTGAAAATTGTTCAGAAGCCCTTACATTGTGCCAGCAAGCGCTGAGCATTCGACTTGGCTTGATACCTGGACACGAGGAGACCGCGACATCTTTCCATTTACAAGGATCAATCTATTGCCAAATGGGTGATCTCTTCATGGCTCGTGAAGCATTTTTGTCAGCTTTAAATCTGAGAAAGAATATTCTTGGTGCACATCGGGAAACTGCACTCACCTACCACTGCCTTGGTGAGGCTCAGTATAAAATGGGTGATTACAGCAAAGCACTAGACTCACTATTGGAGGCTCAAAAGTTTAGACTTGACCTTCTGGGTGATCATCCCGCCACTGCCACTACATTAGAGTTGCTTGCTCGTACGTACGAAGCATTGGGAGCAGAACACTTGGCACATGATTCTCTACTAAGGGCGGGCGCAATGAGAGAGGAACTGAGAAGAATGACGCTCGACCCCTTAACGACTAATGAGGATACGTGAATTTTGTATTACTTTAACAATGCATATTGTTAACGTTCCTACATACAAAGGAGGCTTTTGCAGTTGCGCTCGTAGAAATGGCACATCATGCTTTTAGCTGTGCCCAGATATTTTGATATTATATATCTGCGGAAATTAGGCTTGATTTCTCTGAATTTCTTGATTCTCAAGCAAAATGAAGCCAAAGCAGGGCAACTTAGGACAAAACAAGGACCAAACTCTTATCTAGTGACTGCAGGGTTTTTTTAAAATTATAATCCAACAATGTGTCGTCATAAATCTTACATATCGTCTTATTCTTCAAGATCAGCCTAAAGCTCATGTCTTTTTGCCTATAAGATTCGTCGGAAGGTCAGTCTAAGGATGAGCCTGATAATGTTATATAAGCATTGATTAACAGCCTTACACTACATGTAGCTTGTAAAAAGTCCACGAGAACTTCTTCCTGTACATCGTTGTAAGATGTGTTGATTATTGACAATTATTTCACGTATCTGTATTTGTATTTTAAGTCATCTTACAGTCAACTCTCGCCTTGCGGACACCTCGTTATTACGGACAACCCACCACTGCGGACAACAGCCAGCCCTCCAGCGAAATGTACAAAGAAATGGCTGAAATAAACTCCCGTTAGTACGGACTCTCGCTTTCAAGGTAATGCGGACACTTTCATGCTCTTTCCCTAGAGTTTTCCCTCTTTTTTCCTCCAAAAATCCTGACTGACAGAATATAAAGCGACATTACGATGAAGGAAAATAAAGAAACCATTCTTCAATTGGGTGCGAACATGAGAATTTCCTGCTTGCGGCCGGATCTTTTTCCGGTTCGTGAGACCACGTTAGAAACTTTATGTTTGTGTGGTTACAGTTCAAAATGACTAAAAATTACAAATTACCAAATTACAAATTATTTCATTTGTTTAGATACAAAATAATTTATTTTTCTCTGGAACCCCTCTATTGCAGACTCTCGCTATAATGGACACTAAATTTCCCCCCGAGGGTGTCCGCAATAACGGGAGTCGACTGTATTTTAACATTATATTTACTTAGTATTGCCGGTGATATTAAATTCTCTTACTTCATTTACTGTCTTATTTCGTGTTTCTTTTCATTCAATTTGATGGCCCATTCCAATTGCTGAAATTGACTGAATTTTGTTGTTTGTTGGAGAACTCAAATTTATCTAATCTGTGCTTCGGTACCTGTAGAAAGATACGAAGGTTCGCTCCTCTTGTAAGCCTGCGACGAACTTTCTAAAGGAATGACGTATTCATCGTCATCTTCTTTAGACTTTGTAAGCGGTGTATAAGCTTGAGAATTGTCGACTGATATGTTAGAAACGGGTGAATCGGTGAGATGCATATGCATATTTATGTAATCCGAGGTCTTTCTTTGATTGACGTACTCGTGTTCGTCTTCTTTAAGAGCTTGACGCTTGCATACATTCTTGAGTCTGAACACTATCGCTAAGCACCTGTGGTAGAGAAAATGAGAAAAAAAATGTTTAGGATGTGTTGACTGGCACATTACCAGCAGACCACCGACCATTTTCCACTTTTTTTTCCCTTAAATAATGTATTCGCTATTTAAGTTAAATCGATGGGCATCATTATTCACAATTGAAATCATACCCTCGGTATAACTATTCTCAAACAAACGTACAATCGTCGTAGGTTGAAAAGACTTGACGTCTTCATTTTCCTCTTCTTGGGGATGTTCTTCTGTCTCCAGACTGCGATCGTCAATTGTTCCAGAAACTTGCAACTGAGTGGTAACACCCACAGGAATTCGAGCCAAAGTTAATATCTCTTGAGGCTGGTCGCTAAGAGAGAAAAAAGAAAATTCAAGTTACACTCAATGTCCACTTGTCTCCCTCACTTTTTAATCCCTTACAGAGAAACTAAACTAACATTCCTTGAATCATCACATGACCTTAATTAAGGAAAACGAAGTACTAATAGTGATCACAAAATTTTAGAAAAATCTAAAATCCAAGATTACCGGCAACTATTAGCTACACGAGGTAGAAGATAGCGTAAAGTTACTAAAAGAACTTTCGCTATTCTAAAATACAAAAACAAGGAAGGAAAATTAACACTTATTTGCCGAAATGGAGGTGGCTAGAGATATAGAGAATAATACTTGAGCGCGTGTAGATATGGAATTTCTCTTCGAGTCTAACACGAGAAGAGAAATTCCATATCTAAAAGCAACCATGTATTAATTTGTTTATCATATAAACACAATAGCCCCTTTACTGACAAGAAAAGCCGACTTCATTAATGAATGAAAATAAATAAATCGACAATCCCCAAATAAGAATCGTAGAGTGCGTTGGCGATACCTCTTAAGACGGAAAAATGTGTTGAATACTGATTACAAAAACAACAATGGTCGTAATTTTCAATTTACAAAATTCTCATATATTGACTCGGATCAATAACTTTGGATCAATATTTGTTTCTACTTTATTATAATGCAAAGGTCAAGTAGAAAAAGCTGTATGCCTCAACCGTGTGGACATCCTACTCTGCACAAAATATTCTAAAAGTTTTCAGGCTACAGAAACACACAGCTGGGTGCTGATACGAAAGCAACGAGTGTTGAACTTTTTAAACAATTAGGTTGGGTCCCTTTTTATGATGAAGCAAGAATATATAAGTCAAGTTTGGTATTTAACAGACTGCTGGCGATTGCCCATCCATATGAATCAGATGTTAATAAGAAATGCAGATGTTACTTAATGAGCGATTAAACATGGACAATTAAACCTTGTCTGCCCCCAATTCAAATGGGAGTCTGAGAGGGTGGAGGGGGTCCTCCACAGTATCAACTATCCGCCTCTGGAATAAGATCCCCAGCTAGATGAGAAAGAAACAGAATCTTATAGGCTTCAAGAAATCCTGTTAGAACATTTACTGAATAATTTTTGTCATGTATTTTTAAATTTTACATTTTATTAACTGACCTTATCTTTGCCCTGTTTTAATATACCAGATAGTTTAAATTTTAACTTTTATATCATAATTGTATTTTAATAACTCCTTACACAGTAAGTCTTGAATGCTTTTATGTAATGTCATTAGTTTTTTAATTTGTACTATTTATAGGGCCAGGTGTTCTTCAGTATATTTACTGCTTTGTGTAGCCCTTGTTAAATAAAGTTGATTACTATATTATTATTATTACATATAAGTCAACTAAAATGAAAAAAATGTCAGTGAAGAAGCTGGTTTATCCAAAGTTTACACCAATCAATGTGTGGGAGCTACTGCCATCACTCTCAGCTTCAACGCCAGGATTTCAATAGGCCTATTTGTGGCCATTTCAGGACACCAAAGTGAGCAGTCTCGTGATCTACAACTCATCATTCGACCTCTTAACTCCACAAATGCAGCCAAATCTTTTGAGAGCCTTGCTTACTTCCATCAGAAGTTTCTCAGCAATTGATGTCGTTCCAAACCAAACAAGTGACGACAAAATAGCTCTCAAATTGGTTTTTACCCTGAAATTCAGTCCATTTCAGAATGACATCAAAGGATGGTTTTCTACTTTCATCTCACACTTTCCTCATGATTGAACAATGGCACTAATTGTTTACACATACAAAGCTTATTTGTTTCTGGGCAACCGAGCTCGAAATAGGTGACTCGAGCTCGAAAGCCTATCCGAGCTCGAGTCACAACTCGACTAGAAGGATCCTGAGCAACCGAGCTCGACATAAGGGACCACATTTAGTATCTGGGCAACCGAGCTCGATTCATGTTCACCGTACTCGAATAGCAATTCGAGTACCATTTCAAACCAACCTCGGTTCAACGAGCTCGAAATGCAGTCAATTCGATTCGAGCTCGATTCAACTATATCGTGCTCGATTAAAAAGACGAGCTCGACGAACTCAATCTGCTCTTATCGACCTCAGTTATTTTTATCGAGCTCGGTTTGCCACGTATTCTATCGAGCACGGTTTGCCTCGCATTCTATAGGTTTCATATTGAGCTCGATTTGGTATCGAGCTCGGTTTAATCTTCATTCAGCAAATGAGAGGTAATCTGGTACCAAGACTTGGGAGGGAGCATGGGACGAGCGAGAGTGGCCATGTTTCTGGCAAATTTGTCGAGTTTGGTTCGTGAATTCGGTACTTTTTAGAAGTATGTTTTCGGTCGAATTCGAAAAAAAAGAAGAAGAGTGACAGAAGAAGAGCAAAGAATGATTTATACTGCTAAGGAGATGAAGGAAATGACACTAAGGTGAGCATTGGCTCTTTACGGGAGAGTGTTCCGAGTTGCTGGTTCATAGTTTCTAGTAACATTTTGTTCAGTTTCAAACTTAAGCTCAATCCTGGAGTGTACGTTTCTCGGTTATTTTAAATCTCAGTTGTGTAATAAGAAAGTGTCTCCCTCCATTTTACCAACCTCAAGTTAACCCCACAAAAAAGTATACATAACAACATGCAACAATACACACATTCTATTTTTATTATATGAGCTCAATACACTTTGATTCGTGTTTCTATTTTAATTGGTCTTTTGTAACAAGGAAAAGGAACAGAACTCTAATGAAATATGAAAATTTTTTGGAGAATATGACAAAAAAAAAGTCTGAAAAGTAATGTATGTTCATCCCTTGCAATCAAATATTAAGAAGAATATTATTAACTATACTGAACATATGCATTATCAGAGACCATAGTTGATTGACGACATTTCACGAAATTAAGAAAGTGTGGCGGGCTACTGTAATTGTTAAAAGAAGCCAAAGTACAGTTCAAGCTGTGTTTATCAGTGAGAGAAATGTATTTTTGAATCCAGATTGATTAAATGTTGCTAGATGAAGACAGATTTGCCAATTTTGTGAAAAGTGAGTAATTTTCAGCAATTGGTTTGATAGTTGAGAGCAAAGAGGTTTCCATTATTAACAGGTCTTAAAATGTTCAATCCAGTTATGAATGTGTTAATAGATCCACCAAAAAGCCATTAAACAACTGCAACAGTTCACTTTTAACAAAATAATCAATGCTTGTTGATTTAACCTTAGTTTTTAAACGGCCTGACCTAACCCTCTTTATAGACTGCAAAAACCATATTCTTAATTTGCAGTCATGACAAAAAAAATAAGCAAGACATTTATGACTGTTAAGTAAGAGGTTAATAAAAATGCCAGTTGACTTTTTTTAATAACTGAATTGAACATTTTATGACCTGTTCATGAAATTAGTACAAGTTGAAGTAGTAAATAATAAATTTAACATCAAGGCTGCCATTTCCGTCCAGTAGACTGTCCACATTTGGTATCCTCCTACCCCACATTTCTCCTTCCTTCAGGGACACTATGTCCGAGTCTAGCACTTGCTCATTGTCACTTCCAGGGGCCATTACAATTCTTCAAAAAGAAAATAGAATATATATTTACATATCATAACATTGTTCCACTCAACAATCATTGTGTATTTTTATGCCAGATATCCGTATTGTCTCTCAGCTTAAACAGGAGTAGTACATGGGTGGGTTCGGCTTTGAACACAGCAGTTAGCAAGTTCTGGCACAGTCATACACAAATAGGTACAATGAAATGTTTTTTTCATGCAACACACAGACAGCAAATTTAGTGTTATGCATCATTTCTTCTAAAGCCCCCTTAGTTATAAAGGTGATTTTTTTTCAAACATAATATCAATTTCCCTTTGACAATCTATGAACAAATTCTCATAACCTTTTCTCCTGGTTTAGTATAATTCGATTTGTGATGAAAATAGTGTTGGTCACTCTTGGGACATGAAAGAAGGCAAAGGTAGCATTTTCCTTTAAGTGCACTCACAAACACTCTGCATGAAATAATTAAAGTTCTTACTGAATTTCCCCAGTAACTGGATGGGATGCTGAGAGCAGCTGCAGGAACAATTTTTGTTGTCCGGAGTACAGTCCTCTCCATCTGCAGTTGTCATCTATAAATGGCCCACTTGTAAGGGGCTTGTCTCCAATGGCATCTGAAGCTTGTTGTCTCCTGCTCTCCACAAAATTTGGAATTCTCCAGCAAAAGGAGACAACCCTTTCCACTTTGGGCTCTATGGGTTCTATGTTGCATTTCTAAAACAGAAATGGATTTTATGGATATTATGAAATGCACCAGAAAAAGATTTTCAATGTAAGATTTTGAAGGTAAATGCAACAGTTGCCATCCTTTTTTCCACATACTTCGCTGGTTTTGGCATTTAAAAGAGTGCATGTTTATTGATTTTTAGGTTGGTGAAAAGGCAGCTTACCTTGTAGTATATTATTCCTCGCAGTCGTTTGATTTCTCCTGATTGGAGCGCAAAATGCGAGGTACTTGCTTCCTTCAAATGGACATTCATGTCCTTCTTTTTCACAATTTTTTTGCAGCCAGGTACTTGGCACATTGAAGCCTTCTCTGGGCATTTGTGTAGATGTAGGTTGATGTTCATTCTACAATTCAAAAAGAGGTATGTGTTAGTTCTAGATCTTCCATTTTGACTGGTATCATATATTCCAACAGTGGTTTGATAAAAAAAAAAAAAAGTGGGAAAAACATGACACCTCAAGGGTCACGCCAATTGGCTCTGTAGATTAATTGACCTTGATATAAACTTTGGGGCTTTGGGGAGAGCGGTGGTCAGGGGGACTTAAAGTAATTGGAAGTATCACTAGGCCCCTCTCTTAGATCCCCACTGAAAAATAGGCATTATTTCTGTTTCTCAAATCGTTTCTTGCTTATGAAATTTAATTCCTCTCTGTCAGTTATTTTTAAGGAATGCAGCTGATCGCGTGGCACCAGACACAAGTTAGGACTGCTCGTAGTCCTCGATTTGGATAACAGAAGGATAAGTTTGTCACCTGCTATTGACGATTGAAATGATAAGAGAATACAGCAATACTGCAATTCATGCTAAAAATTACCGAAAAATACTTCACTTATGACAATCGCCTAACACCAAAATATCGCAATGCTGAATTATCCTAATTAATACAACATACCGTGGTAATGATGCTCCACATCTCATGGGGCATAGAACTGCAGAGTTTCTGCATAAAGATGTACGGTGGAATTGGAGTCTTTCCCTGGTTACGCTCAGTTGGCATCCTGAACATGCGATCCTTTCTTTTGGGCAAGCGTGTGTTGTCATTTCTTCCCGTGCCGCCACGTGCTGGCATCCTTCGTTGGGGCACCTCTCTCGTACTTTTGGGCAATGTCTGAGGTGATCGTTGGCATCGCTATAGTTGCCCTTCCACTGGCAGCCTTGGCTGTTACATTTAACAGGCAAATCTCGGGTCGCCTTATCCATTGCCACATTTAACCTCAGCTCTTCTTTTCGGAACGTTGCCCGACACTGGGGACACAACGGTGTGGCTGTCGATTCTGCCCAAGTTTCCATGCAATTTTTGCAGCCAGAGTGCCCACAGGCAAGGGTAACGGGCCTTGACACGATGCTATAACTGAAAAGGAATGTGGCGGTATAATAGCACTGGAAATGAGCGGTAACAAAAACGATGGCAAAATATGACAGCCAGCAATGATATTCAACTCACCAAATACAGCATTCCAAATCCACTGTCCTCAGAAAAGTTAATTCGTTGGACTTGGAAACCACTTCGGTCTTTTGATGAGACATTGTTACGGACTAAAGGATTTTCGATCACGGTCTGTCGTAATAAAGTTTCCTTGTCAGTGTAAGCTGCTCAAATAACCTCTGATGACAACGGTGTGATTTTTAAAGGTCAATATTTCCGTTGTGCGGTTAATAAATTAATTTCCTTTGTTTAGGTTCTGGTATTGGCGGTAATCGGTACCCTTATTATTGAAATCTTCATTAAGGTCGTGAATTTAATGGGATGCTTTGTCTAGTCGGCTTAGTCCTTCATATTTAGGTCGTCACGTTAAGGGGTTCCTTAGTCTCTTACCTAAACCTGCTCCATTATTGATGTCTGTCCTTTGTAATAATGACATTTCACGGAGGGGACACCACGCTAAAGGCTCGAAAGAGTTTCAGTCACGTGACGTCATCAAAATTAGAAAATAAGAAATTATCAATCCCTTTTGATGGGGCATTGTACGGAATATGAGATCTTCGATGACGGCCAGTAAAATTTTCCTTCTTTATAGTATAAGCTGCTCAATTAACCACAGATTACAACGAGAGTATGATTAGCTTTTAAAGGTCAACATTTCCGTTGTGCGGTTAATTAATGAATTTCCTTTGTTTAGGTTCTGGTATCGGCGGTAATTGGTACGCTTATCACTGAATTGTTCAGTAAGGTCGTGAAGTAAATGGGATGCTTTGTCTAGTCGGCTTAGTCCTTCATATTTAGGTCGTCTTCTAAAGGGGTTCCCAAGTCTCTTGCTAAGTCTCCTAGGACCTTTCTGAAAACCACAGTGATGTAATGAAATTTTCCTGATGAAAGATTGCTATTGTTATTATTAACCCACTCCATTATCGATGGCTGTCCTCTATAATGACATTCTCACTGAGGGGATGCCACGCTGAAGGCTAGGAATAGTTTCAGTCGCGAGCGCGCTTTATCTGGTTTTCACGTCACGTCTTCAAAATTAGAAAATAAGGAATTATCAATCCCTTTGAGATTTTAGTTCGGTTAGTTATAAGAACTGTTGAAGACTTAATTTTTACAAATTTCCAGCTTGTTAGGGTTTTTCGTCTTGTGAGAAAGCGAGATTGAATTTCTAAGCTTTGGCGCGAAGCGACATTAAAATGGCGGCCAAGAATGCTGTCACGTAGGTTTAAAAAAAAGTGACATCCGCTTAGATTTCGCGATCTGAACAGTCCTAGTATGAGAATAAGTACTCATATAGATGATTATAAGTCCGCTGAAGACGGCTACAGGATTTTATGTCTTTTTGATTCTTGACTTTATTTGTTGTACGTTTTGATGATGGCGTGACAATGAAAACCGGCAACTTGTGATACAAATCTCGCGCGTGCAGTTGAGGCATATTCGTAATTATCGTATGACCCGTCTGGCCCCGCTCGCCTAATCCCCTAGAAAACCACAGTTAAAGCTGACGTGTACAGGGCCGGACGGGTTGACTTAAGCCGGTCAGGAAAAAGCCGTTTTTCAAGAAATTGGGAGTTTCTTGTTATGACTTGAAAAAATAAATATATGTCAGTTTGCCGGCCGGAAGGTTCGTATGGTGAAAAACTATGATCGAGGTCTTGATGTATATGCAGCATTTTCAAGACCGAGGTCACAGTTTTTCACCATACGGACCAACCCTTAGCCGGTAAATAACATTTTTTTTTTTTTAACTTGACGAAATTCTTTCCGAAAGAACCCGAATGATTTAGGGCTGTAAATACGGCAAGATCTTCCATAAACTGAACAATTTTTTAACGAGTAAATGGTAGTTAAAAAAGAGGTGATGCAAATTAAAGAGAGATGCCTTACCGAAACATTTTCATTTGCGTAATGATAAAGGTGATTTAAAAGGCTTCCAAACAAACTTTGAAACATTATTTTTACCAGTATCTGTCACTGTCTGACACCTGTCAATAAGAGAGCGCGTAAGAAAAGAAACAAAAAAAAAAGTAAGAACATTTGAAAAACAACGGAACTAGTTTGGCAAGGACTGTCACGACAATGTTTCCTTCAAAAACATTCAATGACCTAAGGGAAAGTATTATTCACTGTCATCGACCATTCATTCATGTACGAAGATTTACCTCTGTTCATTAAGTAAACGGCGAGGAAGGTAATTGTGAGTAAATTCAAATTTTTTCTATAACAGCGCCGGTGCTTGCCCTATTTTAGTCCTATTGAGCCGCTATGAACAAAATCCTTATTTACGCACGCCCGTGCGTAAATAAGATGACGTGAGCATTTTTTTTAACCTGGCTTCAGAGTTTCCATCCTGTTAAGCTGCGGTGCAGTTTTCCTTCTGTTTGAAATATGGAAGAAACCAGAGAAGAACTGGCCAATTTTTCTATCGGCATTGACCGTTTGGGTCTTGATCCAAGTTGCACGTTTCGCAAATTTGTCGTAAGACCAGCTGGAGCAAATTTTGGCCGAAAGACAGACATTCACTGGGAATAAAAAATAGTCACCAATTGGTCATAAACGACATTCAAAGGTAAAATTTCCGTTTTTTACCGGCGTCGTTTTTAAATTTGTTCAACCTGAGGAATAAAATACACAGTTAATTGGAAATTTACCAAAACCAGAACAATCACAATTGCACTCTATCACAATAAAAGGTTTCTTCGCGCAGATTCTTGTTGTTGCTCAGTTATAAAAGAATTTGCTCATGCTTTTAGCTGTGCGTATATCAGTTGAGTTATGGATGCACTTGGGAAGTTTGGAGAGCACTCAAAAAGCTAGAGTTGCTCTTGGCTGCGCCTCGAGCTACTCTTACGCATTTTTCGTGCTCTCCAAACTTTCCGCGTGTATCCATAACTCGATATACGCACGCTCAGCATGAACAAATTCTTAAATTTTGAAGTTGTGCGAGTTTGCTCATTTGTTTGCTGCAATGTCGTGTGTAAATCTGGTCTTTCCTCCACAAAAACTAAATTCGAATGGCACACTCCAAGGGGATTTAATGCGCCATTCTCTCAATAAATTCCTTCAGTTTCTGTTGTGCAATTTACGGTACAAATGTCCAAATTGAACGGACCCGGAAAGACTCACAGAGAGCGTATATTTGTTGTAGAACTGAATGTAAAACTTCGCTCGCTCTTTCGCTACGAACAAATTGTTTGAGAAAATTCAGATATTAAATGAATGAAAATTCCACCGTTCAGTTTAACTGTAATCAAATACCTCACGTTTTCACTTTTTAGGTACTTTTTGTGAACGATTTAAATTAACTGCTGAAGGTTTTTATGCCGCTTGTCAACCAACGTAATGACACTATTGCTTATACAAAATTCATTCTGAAACCAATATTTTTCTGTCAACCAAAGTGATTTGAGAGAGAGAAAAGAGAGGATTCATAAGTTATTTATCGGCTTGAGGTAGTGACCGACGTGTCTGCCTAAAAATACTACCCAGACGGAAAAGCGAGATATATTTATAAAAATGGCAACGAAATTTGGGATGTACTCAGCGATTCACGAAGGCGTCACCGTGGCCCGTGGGCAGAGATAAGAAAATACTGACCGGGTAAAGAACCAATCAGACTGCAGGATTCGTTACCGTGCCCTCTGAAAAAAAAGTAAAGGAAAAGTTTAAATTTCAGAATTTCTTTTTTGTGCTCGTGTAGCTGAGTGTGCCCGGGCCGGACGGGAAAATATTTGGCTCTCGATCATGAGACACGGACCTCGTTGCGTCCGGTCCGTACGTCATGACTTCGAGCTAAATATTTTCCCGTCCCACCATAATACTGATTTAGTTTTCGATTTTGGAGGCACGACTGGATGTGTCCTATGGTTTCCATGGTGACAATTTTTTTCTTTTTTTTTTGTTTACTTTATTTTCTACACGTTCCCACAAGCTTGCAGCTTTAAACCTCACCATGTTTGAATAAGGTTTATTGTAGTGCACATGCATTGTATTGTAAATTATCTGGGGAAAAATGATGTTATGGTGTTTCTTTTATTTCTGTGCCGAATTTTATACTAGTAGTATAGTTTACTACTATACTTATTACGAAGAGCCAAACTGTTTTGAGAAATAATTTGAAGAACTTTTCTCGAAAAAGGGCAATCTGTTTTGAGCTATCTTAAAATGAAACGCTGTAAACTCCGTTAAGAGAAAAATTAGCTTAAAAAAAACCTTTTAAAATACCTTAACCTTTTTCAGGGAGTTTGACATACGAATCGGTCCCTGAAGGTTCATATTGTTCACACTTTAACACTGACAAGAGCTAACCCTCTTTTTTTCTTTTACTGAACAGTGTTTTCAGTAAATCGGGCACCTGATACCCGGAGCTATCGCAGGTGTTCTGTCCTGAATCACCGAGCTAAATTTATTCTGGTAATTTTGCGTTAACAACTGAGTTGAAAACGTAAATTGGTCACCGTAAAGGGTAAAAAAGATAACATTTCGAGCGTTAGCCCCTCGTCAGGGCGAAGGGCGAAGGGCTCACGCTCGAAACGTCAGCTTTTTTACCCTTTACGGTGGCTAATTTACGTTTTCAACTCAGTTGTTAACACTAAAGTACCTGCTATACTCTCCCACCGACGCAACACCACAGTTTCTCTTAAAACTTTCTCCCTGTATAACTTTATTCTGGTTTCTGTAAGAGATGTCTGAGCTCGCAAGGAAAGCCTCCTACTTGAAATCTTATAGAGCGTTACCACTCACGTCGCATACAAATTTATTGGAACTAAAGAAAGTGTTCACTGAAGAAAAAAGTTCAACTCCCACGGGATTGGTTTGGTACACCAACATGGCCGCCGTTGGATTGTTTTGGAACACCGATATATGATAGGGTTGGGGGAGGGTTAGTCATACTTAATACTTACTACTGTATTTAAATATCAATACTAAAAGGCTTGTTCTTGTTGTGTTTATAGCACCTCGAGCATGGGAGGTAGCAGATAAGACGCCCGCGGCAGACAAAAAAGAGACGTCATGTTATCATCAACGGGTTTTTGGACTGGAAAAGCACTTCTACAAACTCAGCGGAACCTGTAGCAAACTAAACTGTAGAGACGTT